GAACTGGTTGGGACACATACTCAGGAGAGAGGGTGCGGACGACTGCTTCACAGCATTAGGATGGACACCAAAAGGTCGAAGAGCGAGGGGGAGGCCAAAGACAACTTGGAGAAGGACGGTGGAGAAGGAAAGAAACAAGGCGGGGTGGAAGAGCTGGGAAGTAGCCAAAGCGGTGGCACGGAACAGGGAGTGTTGGTCGGAAAGCGTGACGGCCTTATGCGCCTACTGGCGCGAAGAGAAATGATGATGATGATGAAAGCTGTAATTAAGGGTGTTTTTAACAGGTCATGCTGTTGCTATGGTAACCTATTGTTTCACAGAAATGATAATAACGTGTTCACCAATGATTGGGCAGTTTTCTGATACCATGATTGTAGCATCAAGTGAAAAAGAGTTGTTATAACGAGCCAACAAAATCTAAGTGCTGGAAACTGTTTTGAGCCATCTTAATGTTCTTCTAATGTTGAACCCTTCACATTACACCGGACAGGGGGAGGACTTCATGTAAAAAAATTTCGCTGAACAATCAAAACCAAAATTATCTCTTTATTCATGCGTCTCAACCATTTAGGCCGAAGAAAAAGGGATTTTCCCTTAAGGTGTTCCATGCTGCGAGGTGTGAGGAAGTTGTTGTCTGTTCGCTCTATTTTAAGTCCCCCTGGAAAAGCCTAATAATCAGCATATAATTCAAAAATTTACCCTCTGTGGTTTTCTCCATCGGACTCTCACACGGTAGACATGGAAACTTATGTACGGAAAATTACATTTTCTGCATTTTATTGATATTTTAACCGTGTATAAATAAAATTTCGAACATTTATTTGTTCACTAATTTACCCATAAATCTGGCCGTCCCTTCTTCCGTTCGTCTATCCATCCAGCCATTCATTTATCCCTGAGCGTCAGAGGTTTGCCCTTATGTTTCCACTTAACTATGATTTTGAAACATTGCAACACTCTACCTATCATTTAATGAGTTCCAAAAATTGTCAACGAACCCATTGATCATATTTGTCTGTTAATCTCTTCAAGTATTTCGACAGAAACTTTGTGGTATCTGTCTCTCCCGCCAACAACATTTTCTTGAGCGCCCGAGCTTCGTAAAGCCCTTCCCAGAAGTTAACACTCTTGTTTACCCTCTCATCAGTCGCTATGGAAACAGTTGGCTCAGGACAGGCCAGGTGCTCCTTACTAGCAGTACGAGGGGGAGGGGGTGGGTTTTTGCTTGGATCCAAGTGATGCGCCCGCAGTGCCTCTTGTCGCTCAATAACGCGGTCACAAACATGACATTCAAACCCTGCATACATACGGTGCCCAAAATTCACTTTGTCCCATTCTCCTAACACACGCCAAGGTCTTTCCTTCAACGCTTTGTGCAGAAACTCGTTCGTGATATGCTTGGGATCCTTGTAAGCCATATACTTTTCGTATTCATCGTCATTTGAATTGAGATGTCTTATAAACTCAGCAAGTTCTCTTGGATGCTTAAAATCGTTCACAAAGATCCCTGATCTCTCATTTGGCATCCAGTCTTTCGCCAACGGGGACCCCATGACAATAGGCACCGCGCCTACCTCGAACGGCCGGAAAAGCTTTTCCGTCATGTAATCGTTACAAACAGCATTCTCAAAGGCGATATTGAATTTGTATTGAGCGAGGAACTTGTAATAATCTGGACTTTGAAGCTTTAGAAAGCCATCAATCTCCTCAGGCATTTTACGGTTGTTGAGACATCGTCCATACGAGTCAATTTCGATGTATTTCATTAGTTCCTTCACGTACCTCTCACGGTCTGACGGGGTGTGACAGTCACTTTGCACGTAGATAATCGGCGCCAGGCTCTCCTCCTTTTGTAATCTATGACAAAGAAGGAAACTTGTCCTGAGAAACAATCTCGACGAAGGCTCCTTGCATTGGTATGGTTAGCTGTAAACTTGGAGGTTCTTGTCGCTGTGTACACACGAAGTACGACTCCCATAATATGTAGTTAAGTCAGTATTAATGATGTTTCTATATATGGTTCATTTGTAATTTCTCGGAATGGTAAGAACAAGGGGCAAATTATGTGCTATATAGCATTGAAAGAAGACAGTTTCGCTCAGTTTTCAGTGAAGGCAACGAGGTCCGGTTTCACCTACAGCCCGCAAGCTTTACGGTCAGCGTTGCATCCAGTTACCGCGGAGCCTGAGGGACTTGGTGCGAGATTGTTAGGGAGTACAAGGAGACCACTGACCTGTTTTTCTCCTCAATTGGTACTGCGGGCGTTTCCGTCCAGTCGGCAAGATCTTTGATGTAATGAGTGGACAGAGGGTAGTCAGACTCTCGTCGAAATGTTGCTGTGTGATTGAAAAGCCTGATAACATAATCAAACAGCGGCGAGTTAACGCTACAAATCAAAGCAAGTAGAGATCTCCTTAACGCTAGATAATCAAAATATCAAATGCAAAAAAAATGGTTCCAGAAAAACTTTGGAGACCTTTACGACTAAGGACTCAATACTGGGAACTGATAATGCCCCTTGTCTGACATACTTACACGAGCGCGTCCTCGAAGGTCAACATCCAATTGTTTTTAGGCGACTCCTCGTGAAAAAGCGCCCACTCGTCCCAGGGCCTTCGCGGGAGTGGTAGGTCGTCAGCGCGCAGGTCAGTCCCGTAAAAGATGAACCCTCGAGTGGCCGGATCGTTTTTGAGCCCGCGGTCAATAGATGTTATACACGCGCCTTTGTTGCAAGATATCTCGT